ATCTAAATAGCAACTTCATTCAAACACAAATTCATACAGAAAAACAAAGTCTTCCTAATAGCAACATAACACAAATTCATGTAGGCGCCATTCATATACAAAAACAAAGTCTTCCTAATATCATAACCAAAACAACTGGGATCAAGTCATTAATCAAAATAAAGTTAGTTGGGATCAAGTCATTAAGCTAAACCAAGTGAAATCTAATGTGTGCCTTGAGTGCCTTGAGTGCTTGGTGTGCCTTGAGTGCTTCTGTAACTCTCATCCCGTAGCTGTCTTTGAGTAATTGCAGTTGTTCCCTTCCACCTTAGTCCATTGGGTTTGTAACCAAGATCAATATTGGTAGGAGTTGAACTTGACAATGTAGCACTACGTAATACCCTATCAGTATTTCCAGACTGAGAGAACAACAAAAATCTTAACTTAAAGATGAACTAATATCAATTAAAGCAATTTAATGTGTTTAAATGATAAAATACATACCCTCGCAGTTACACTGCCACCTGATCCAAATAAGAGACCATAACCAGTTGTCTTTGCTTTTTTTGGTCTTGGTTTCTTATATGCAAGAGTTGCACCACCTCTCAAAGTTGTGCTAGTCTTTCTTTTTTGGCCACCTGCACTAGAAGTTGATTGTTGAGCACTAATTAGACCTGCACTTGGAGTGCAACCTGCACTTGGAGTGCAACCTGCACTTGGAGTGCAACCTGCACTTGGAGTGCAACCTGCACTTGGAGTGCAACCTGCACTTGGAGTGCAACCTGCACTTGGAGTGCAACCTGCACTTGGAGTGCAACCTGCACTTGGAGTGCAACCTGCACTTGGAGTGCAACCTGCACTTGGAGTGCAACCTGCACTTGGAGTGCAACCTGCACTTGGAGTGCAACCTGCACTTGGAGTGCAACCTGCACTTGGAGTGCAACCTGCACTTGGAGTGCAACCTGCACTTGGAGTGCAACCTGCACTTGGAGTGCAACCTGCACTTGGAGTGCAACCTGCACTTGGAGTGCAACCTGCACTTGGAGTGCAACCTGCACTTGGAGTGCAACCTGCACTTGGAGTGCAACCTGCACTTGGAGTGCAACCTGCACTTGGAGTGCAACCTGCACTTGGACCTGCACTTGGACATGCACTTGGACCTGCACTTGGACATGCACTTGGACCTGCACTTGGACCTGCATTTACACTTGACTGGCTTCCGGTAGTTGCAGCACTTGCAACACTTGTTCCAGCAGCAACATTTGAAGTTGCAGCACTTGTTCCAGCAGCAACATTTTTCTACAAACATATTTTAAAGTCAAAAGTATAACAAGAGTAAAATTCAGTAACAAAGAGACATTAAAGCACAACTTACCAGAGTTGGACATCCTTTCTTGTTATGTCCAAAAGTCTTACACACAGAACATTTCATTTTTCTTCCCTTTCTTGTAGCCTTTCCAAACTTCTTCTTAACTGGCTCATCACTATCTTTTCTCCTATTTTTTCCTGGTCTTCCTGGCATAGCTGTAATTTCAGGTGGTTCAATGGCTGGTCTATCACTTTTTGGCCACATCTTCATGTTTGTCATAGGTTGAATAAACCTATTATATGCTTTCAAGTATGTTTCCTTCTTATACCAGTGATCAACAAATGTATCAACAACCCAATCCTTATAATGAATTAATGTAAGTGCATGGCCACAAGGAATTCCCTTTAATTGCCATGACCTACAACTACACACCTTCTTTTTTAGATCAACAATATGTTTATATGGTGGATCATGAATCTCAAAGCCAAGATCACCATTAAACTTTACCTCACAATTATCTGCAATTTCAGCATTTTTTCTAAGAATATCCATAGCCATTGGTGCTACATCAGTAATCCATTTTTCTGAAAATTCTCTCATGTGATTCATTCTTTCCATAACTTTGACTCTTATTTCCTCTAGCATAGTGATTATTGATTTGAACCTAGCACCTAAAATCCAACTGTTGAAAGTCTCACACATGTTGTTCTCAACCACATCACACTTGCTATGTTCTTTAAAATATGCCCTACACCATGCTTCTTTGTTATACTTTAACAAAGCTTCTACAATGCCTACTCCTAACTCACTCAAGTCATCAAGTTTGGACTGTAAAAGTACCTCAAATGATGCCCTGGCAACCTGCCAGAATTTTCTTCTCCTTTCTTCACCCCTCCAGTCTTTCTTCCAGTTTGCCCATATATGCCTAGCACACCATCTAATTTCAGCATTTGGCAATACATCAATAAGTGCAAGATGAAGACCCTGTCAAATAAAGAACATTTGACATACAACAATGTTAAATATTAATTACTCCAAAAATGAAGAAATAAATTTAACAAATAATATAGTAATACCTTTTGCATATCAGACATCACTGTTAGTCCTTCACCTTCTGTAAGCTCCAAATCATGTTTGATGCACTTGAGAAACCAAGACCATGTGTCCTTGGTTTCTTTATCAACTACTGCCCATGCTATAGGGTACATCTGATTATTTCCATCTTTGGAAATGCAAGATAACAATTCACCTTTACATACACTTTTAAGAAATGCACCATCTAAACCAATAATCCTTCTACACCCTTCTTTCCATCCAATTTTTAAGGAACCAAGACAAATATAGATGCTCATAAACACCTCTTTTCCTGGAATTGTGTTCTTGGATGTCCTAATAGATACAGTAGTTCCAGGATTTGTGGTCTTTAATTGCTCAGCATAATCATACAACCTAGCAAACTCCTCTCTGAAATCTCCCATATGTTCATTCATAACTCTCAGTTTTGCCTTTCTACAACTTGTCTTACTAACATACAAACCATATTGCTTTTGTATCAAAAACTGAATCTGATGTAGTTTGATGGTAGGCTCACTCATAATCCTCTCCTTGTAATGTTTACTAATCCAAATGGGGGTACACAGTTTGTTTCTTGTTCTTTTAAAACACTTATGGACAGGAAAATATGTTTTAACACTGAAATTTCCAGTGTTACCATCAATACTTCCAAGAATATGCCAAGGACAACCTTTTTTATTACACTTTGCCCTTATCCTTTCCTTCTCATTAGGTTTCAACTTAATATTAACACCCTTCTGAATAGAGTAAGTTTGCAGTGCCTCCCTGAACTCTATGTGATTCAAAAATACCATATACAGTTGAAATAAAACCTTTTTAGCAGTTGGATCAAAGTAGATCTTTGTACTTTCCTTCCTAGGTGCTGGATCTACCACTTCATCATTCTCAACAGGATCCCCTTCATCTTCACTAATGTCACTACCAGGATCTGAGCTATCAAAATAAGGGTCATCACCACCCAAATTGCCTTCAAATCTCCCCCTCTTCTCCTTATAAATGTCTTCAAAACCAGCATCTATACCTACAGGACCAGATGGTATCTCATCTAGATTTACTCTAGCAGTCTTTTCTTTAACTTGTTCTTGAATATTAGACTGCCTAGCTTGAAGCAACTCCTCATCCAAATCACTCAAATCATCAATATTTTCATCAATATCATAGAGTGAATCAGAATCAGAATGTTCTTCAACTCTAGGGGCAGGGGCTTGTTCTTCAACTAAAGGGGACTGCTCTTCAACTAAAGGGGGCTGATTTTGGTTTAAATCCCTATTTTCATTTTCATCAAATGGTTAAGATGAAGACACATCAGCCCTATCTATTTGTGGGGAGGATGACAGATCAGCCCTATTTTTGTGTGGGGAGGAGGACACATCAGCATTATCTTGTTGTGGAGATGAGGACACATCAGCATTAGTGCTAGGCAATACAAGTATCTCCTCTACAACTAAAGGTATACTAATGGGATGTACAACATATACATCAACAAAATCAACACTCTTCAAACCATTCAGAAAGTTTAAAACATCAGAATCAGTATTTAACATGTAAAAAGTACCCTTCTTGTTGACTCTACATCCAAATGTCTCAACATTTTCAACACCCAATTCCATTGCTATTTTATGAAATAACATAATATGCAACTCATCTACATCTATATTAATCTTTTCAACACTACTGATTCCATTGACATACCTTAAAGTAGGATTAGATACAAAACAGCCCCATAGTGAAATTGAAGTGTCACTATAGTTAAAGCCATTACCTTACGATGCCTGTAAAGTCAAAAATAATAACTACAGTTAAACCATAAACTTACCATGATTGTAATACAAAAATCCCTAATTTTTTTAAGGAAATAATGAATTGTTGTAACAGTTAAAGCCATTAACTTACCATGACTGTAATTGTTGTAATAATGCTCAACTAACACTATCAATACCCAAGACAATTGACCAGAAATAAAATATTAATTTTAGTTGAAATTGGGATTTTACGATAAACCCTAGAATCTACTCGAATTCACGAAATATGCCATTGAAGTCACTCAAAGTCATACATCAACTAAGAAAGCATATTACACTAATATTACATCTAAACCAAAGTAAAAATCCCCAAAAAAATTTTCAGAAAATCGAATGACAATCGACCCTTAAAATCAAACAGATACACGCGAGAAAATGAAAAAGATCAGAACTAACGCAAAAGGCAAGAACTTACAACGAAAATCGGAGTGGAACTGAGCTTTAACTGAGCGAAGGTTTGGAGGAAAATCACAGACGAATGTCGCGGAGAGGAGAGGAGAAGAGGAGAAGTCGCGAAGGTTTGAAAATTTTCGCCGGAGTTAGGATTATTCTTAGTTTAAGGTGAGTCATTTGCCACGTGGAATATAATATCATACGTGGATTATTATTTTTTTCTTTTTGGCCAACGTGTACGTGTTTGTGCAACACGCTCCATACCACATCAAAAAAGTGTTTAAAATATTGAGTTTGGATGGGTTCAGGGGTCCAGATGACAAAATGGTAAGTATAAGGGTTCACAATACAAACAGATACAAGTACAAGAGTCCACCAGACCATTCTGCCTTATATTTATAACAAGTAAAACCTTTACTATCTTTTTTATTAATATTGTTTCATGTTCTATTCAGAGCAACACATAAAAATAGCGGATTATACAACACAATTGCTAAAGCACTAGATGAATTGATATTCACATCACCTATTAACTATCGGTTACAACTAAGATAACTAGGATATCTAATTCCATTCGTTTTCCTAAGTAATGTAACTATGCATTTCATTTAGTGTTTAATCCGAACTGATGATATACGTTGACGACATGTTTAACACACGTAAATTAGACAAGAAATTGTATTTTTAGTGGTAGAATGGTGACTAACATAGAAGAACATGTTCCTAGCAGAAAACCAGCTTTACAATACAACATAATACGATATAACACAAGAACATGTATTATAGTTTTACCATGTATATAGCTTGCTTTTCTTATAGGTTTATTCTTCAAGTTAATATTGTGTAACGACAGAAAACATTGCAATGAATTCTCATGTTTTATTCATCAAAATAATACGATACATGCATTATGAAATGATGTGTAATAACCAAACTATATGTAAAATGTACTAAAATATGTCACATGAAAAGTTATAATTAAAGAGTTATCAAACAAGAAAAAAGCTAAAAGAAGAAGTAAACCAAACCAATTGAAATGAAAGAAGTATTGAATTAACATTAGGATTAAAATAAACTGCAAAAACGACTAAAAGTCAATATTTTCAATCTATTCATTATGAATATACTAGCCCGAACGCTTCACCACAAACAACAACCGAATATATATCCTTAGATATGTATATATGTGTATATATTTTTTATATTGACACTCCTAGCAATAAAGATCAAGTGATTTTACTCGATGATTTAGGGCGAATACAAGTGGACATTTATTGAGCTCATAGTGAAGACTGCATTTGGCCTGACAAAGTTTTGAAACATCAAGCTCTGTTGGGGCTGAAACACGTGAAAGTATAATTGCTTGATCATATTTTTGCTCTGCAAGACTGTAGGTTGAAACTGTGAATAATAGTGTAAACAATATTATTAACACTTAGATATATGTATTTTTGTTACCAGATACACAAAAATAGGGAGAGGGGCAAGCAAGATTCCTTTGTATCTCAGATACATGTGAATCACACTAGATACATGTATATGTATATCTGCAGTGATTCACATGTATTTGAGATACAAGATATATGAGAGAGTGCCGATCGAGATGGGAGAGAGACGAGGGAGGTGAGCGAGATTTGTTATGTATCTCAGATACATGCGAATCCACTTGGATACAATGTATCTAGAACAAATTACACCTAAATTTGATCTCATATATTCGGGATATATGTATCTGGAGGCACCAAAATCTTATTAGATATGTAATATTGCAAACTACATTATACCTAAGTAACTAGTTCCTAAACTAATGAGATAAGTTCTCTTTTTTTCAAATGGGATATACACAACACGAATCTAAATAAATCAAGCTCCAATACACACGAATTGAAATTAATCAGGCTCAAATACAAATACAAATACAAATACAATATATATATATATATATATATATATATATAAAAAGAGAAAAAAAAGAAAAAGAAATGTGACCGTTAGAGAATCCTCTAAAACAAAAGCCAAACATAATTCAAAATATGCCATTAATAATGATTACTATGTACTAATCAATTAAATTTCAATCCAAGAATTAAATTCCTCATTAATTTTATCAAATCCAATTCCATGTACAAATCTTAACAAATCAAAAAAAAGTTAAACACAAATCCCTTCTTCATCCTCAAAACTTCCCTTTTCCTCCATTTTTTTGTTCTGCTGTCACACATTCTTCAGGTGAAAAGGGTGTTATTGATTTAAAGATCAATTTTTTTTCGCCTTAGACTCGTTACCTTGTTCGATTGGAGAAGTGGGTTGTTCATAGATGTCGAAAAGGGGTGCAGAGGAGATGAGAAATGAAATGGTGGCAGCTGAAGGAGAGATAAAAATGGAGAATTTTGAAAAGGATGTTGTTGAATCTCATCCTTATGCATTTCATGTTTCTGGACCAAGAAATGTTGCTTCTCCAAATTGGAGAGATCTTATTAATTCAAGTTGGTTAGTGTTCTTTTCTTTCTCGCTGTGCTTATTTTCTTGATTTGCTGTTAAAGTTTCAAGCTTTTATTAGTCTTGTAGCTCATGATGTAGAGTGTGCTTGTTTTTCAGTGTTTGGGGATTTTGAATTGTGGATTTAAGACCCTTTTCTTGATTTCAGATTTCATTTTGTTAAGGTTTAACTGATATCTAGCTAAAGCTAATTCTAGTTTGTTAGTGTTCTATATCTGCTCAATTTGTTCAAAGTTTCAAGCTTTATTAGTCTTGTAGCTGATCCATAAAGTGTGGTTGTTTCAGTCTTTGAGGATTTCAGATTTCACTTTTTTAAGGTTCAACTGAAATCTAGCTAAAGCTAATTCTAGTTGGTTAGTCTTCTATATCTGCTCAATTTGTAATTTGTTCAAAGTTTCAAGCTTTATTAGTCTTGTAGCTGATCCATGGAGTGTGCTTGTTTCATTGTTTGAGGATTTCAGATTTCACTTTTTTAAGGTTTAACTGAAATCTAGTTAAATCTAATTCTAGTTGGTTAGTGTTCTTCTTCTTTTTTTTTTTTTCTTTTTTTTCATTTTTGTTCAAAGTTTCAAGCTCTAGTCTTGTAGCTGATGATATAGAGTGTGCTTGTTTCAGTGTTTGGGGATTTTGAACAGTGGATTTAAGATTAAGACCTTTTTTTATTTCAAAACTTCATTGTTCTTTTAGGTTTGATTTGGTTCATCTTGTGGTTTAACTGAAATCTTGCTTAAGGTGATGCTTATCTTGTTGGATTATCCCTCCTAGGTAGGGGGGAGGCGAATTTGTCTCTGATCTTGGGAAATCCTCACATTTTGAGCTAGTTTTTGAGGTTGAATTAGACAGAAAGTCCAAATTTTTTTTTATCATGGTATCATAGCTAGGCCTACCCAAGTCTTGTTTCACCTGATGAGTGTTGAATTATCCCACATCAATGGACGGGAGGCAAATTTGTCTTCTTTTATTATGGCTTGGACTAATGCTCAACTCTTGAGCTACGTTTTGGAGTTGAGTTAGACACCATGTACATTTTCTTATCAGATTCGAAGGACCCCGTCTTACATTACATATTTATGTTCTTGACTTAGGCTTCCAATTGGATTTAGTTGGTGTTGCTCAGCCAACTCTCCTTTTATCTCTGAATTATCGACAGTGAACTTCTTCTAGCTGCCAACTATTTTTCTCCGGCCTACAATCTTTTAAAATTCATGCATATAATGCAAAAAAAAATAGGGGAATTATGGAAGAAAAAGATCTATATAGGTGATACTACAGCTGATTCTGTGCACCTGGACTAGTTCCACGAGGTACCTTCTACCTCGCACTAACACTGATATCGAGTATGAAATAGGTTTGTTTTGGGTGAATGTACAACATACTCTGACTTATTCTTGGTAAAATCTACTGCGAGTTAATATCTTTGATGGTCACTCAACTATCAACTTTTTTCACAGAAAGTCACTTAACTTTGATTTTCAACTCAAAAGTCACTCAACTATGAGATCTTTGCATACAAAGTCACTCAACCTATTTAATTATTTTTTTCATTAAAATTTGCTGATGTGAAATTTTTATTTCTAATTAAAATTTTAAGAAATAAACATATATCCATTTAAACCATTTAATAACCCGCCCACTTAACCTAACCCACTAAATATAATATTAACACTTTTATTTTACTCTTATTCTCCAAAAGTTATTTTCTTGGTCTCCCATTCTTTCTCCTCTGCTTCTTTTTTTTTCTTTTTTTTAAAAAAAAAATTCTCAATTTCAGCCTTTTCTTTCTTCTTTTAGTAAATCTTAGTTAAATAGGAAATAGATTGTGATTAAAATATTATTAGAAGGATGCAGGATTGTACAGGGAGAGTTTATTAAGAGAGAATCCATGGAAAAGCTCCGGATAATGCGAGTTCAGGTTC